CAAAAGCAAGAACACCATGAGCTTTCTGAAAAGCTTGTGTTAAAGATTATAAATTCAGAGTAGTAAAGCTAAGTTTCTGTACAAGCACTAAACCAGAATCCTGCCCAAGCACCCATCTAACAGCAGGGCCTCATTGGACATTACTTTCATTCCTCTAACATTGCAACCACTACAGTCATTAATTCTTCATGATTTACATATCTGGTTTTCTAATCTGTCTCTATGATACCTCAATTCATAGTTCATGGTATACAAATTCACACCTTTGTAATACATAAGGGAATGTGGAAACTGAACTGTAAAGAGTACGCATCCTGTGCCCAAACCCAAAACTCCTCCTCCACCCAAACATTGTCACAGCTTCCAAGTAGCTAAGCACCAAGCAGCAGCAAGTTTACATGGTATAAATAGTGATCATATGTTTGATCACTAATGTCAGGCATTTTATATCTCAAAGGTCTGCCTGCAAGTCAGAAGATGAATCAACAAGGTACCAGTAGGCTTGGACAGTTACTCCTCACCTCTTTATAACAGGAGACAGATCAGGAATGAGGCTTGACTGCTTTTATGTAGCTCTTGAAAATTATGATCTGGAAGGCTGACACAGCTTCTAATAATTCTTGCCTTTATGGTCTTCATAGATCTCTAGTTGTCTTTCTTGATTACACTCTCCATTTGAAGTTATAAGCTGCTGTTGGAATAGTTACAGATCTGACAGAAGAAAACTATTTTAAAAAGTAGTAGGAGTTATATGTTTTATTATCACCTACTGAATTACAACAGTTCTTACAACTATAAATAATTTCCCATGGTAAAAATGATCAAAGGAATCTGATTTACTAGAATGAATTAACTTACCCAATATTGGCTACATTTTTCATTCAGCCATAAAAGCACCACAAATGCCCATTTCTAACACACTCACTGCAATGCAATGACCCAGGTCTAACACTTTGCTCATCAAAAGATTCTGAAGTCCACTTCCAGGTAATTAATTCAGTATTGACACACTGACTGAACAGAGTAGAGTACTCCAAGTTCTGATATAAAATTAGTAGAGTGAATCTTAAGGCATTGAGAAGTAAATTTTAGCAGGAAATCATCCAATAAACTGATAGGTAGTTAGTGTCAGAAGCTCTGCTTGAACTCCTGATTCCCACTTTGATATAGTCTTCTATAGAGTTACATTTACTAACTTACTGTTTGCAAGTGAAACACTCTCTGGTGAAACTAGTAGTTCCTTGTTCAAGGAAAATCCCCTTCTTAAGAGATGGGATTCAGAAGGCTCTTCTGTAACTAAAGAGTGATGATATATTCAGTTATTTAACCCCTAATCACCTTTCCTGTAACACTCTTGTCAGTATCAGTACAACAGACTTAGTTTCAAAGCACTGGACTCTGGAGCAGATAAAGCCTATTACAGAAAAGAAAAAAAAAATAGAGAAAAATTGTCCAGCCATGTGTTGTATCTCATCTAAATTTAGTGAAAGTGAGTTTATGACACCATTAGAACTTTGATTTATGAAAAGAACAATGTATTAGCATTTCACATTTCTTTATGTATACCACTTTCACAGTTGCTTCATTAATGCAAAAATATACTCTACCAACATAGCACAAGTTTGGTTACCTATCAATTAAACTTAGAATACCTACATTATTAACAGAAATGTCAAGCTTCGAGAAGGGAAATAGTACCTTTTGCTGCTGTGGTGCTTAGGTTCCTCAGGTATACCTGAATCCAGACGGTGACGGGTGTGATATGTGTAACAAATTAGACACAGCTCCCGTGTCAGTCGGGAAAATACCAGAAAGGACCCACGGATAGGCTACATAAACTGTGACTGTTAAATTCCTCCCTTGATCTTTCTGGGCCAAATCAATAATTCCTTTGATTGTTATGTAAATGACGGCTTTTCAAAGTAGCAATTTCTAAATGGCCCATGATTTACTCATCAGTGCAGCAGCGGTTCTAAATCGTTGCACTAAGGAAAAAGAACAGAGTAATGATTTCCAAGAAAGCCAGTTAACTGGAAGCCTCATTAAGGCTATCAAGAACTCCATGAAAGGGAGATGAAATTAATTCTTTTACCATTGCTGACAAACCCTTCAGGCCAAAAAAGACATTTATAGCCTTTTCAATGGAAAAAGAATAATTCCATTAGCAACTACTACAGAATAGACTTCATACACCAAAAATTTCTGATCTCACATGAAATTTGGCACTAGATGAACATAAAAAATGTAACAAAAATTTAAAAAAAGTTGTAAGCTAAAACTCTCCAGAATAGTACAAATAGCTAAAATCTAATTTTTGCTGTCCATGTTCTCCTGTATTAAGCCCGACAATCTTAAAACTGACTTGTCATGACAAAAAAAAAAAAAAAAAGCCCTCTTGGATAGTAAGAGTTCACATGTTCAGAAAACAAGTTTAAGGAGGGACATAGCTTCTCAACTGTAGCGTTTGAACAATACTGAATTGAAGTGTTAACAGCGGCATATCCTCAAACTAGAGGGAAAGTATCAGCCTCCACATATTGAGCAGTTTATTAAGCTGCATTACATTGAAGACAATACAAAAGAAACCCTTGTGCTAACATGCTCATACCTTGCAATAGGACTTACCTACAAATGAGGCAGTCTTGAATTAAAAAGTGTGGTTCTCTTACATTAAAAAAAAATCCTTTTGTACAGTGCTTTTAGTTTTCAATATAATTTTAATTCCACTTTTCAACATATAAAAATAAAGCTAAACTACAAGCAGAACACTTGTTTATGTATTAGCAAACCAAATTAAATTTCAGATTCTCTTTAGGCTCTAGCACTTAATGATATCTACATATATTCAATTTTCCACACTCCAGTCTCTGGTGAGAAAACTACATCTCTCTGAACTGTCTACTGATTGACATGATTTTAGCCATTTATAAATTTCAGCATTTGACACTAAGTCAAATTTTCACTTTCAAAATTATGGTAACATCAAAAGTGACATTTGATTGCTATAAAATGGAAATTACCAAGCAGCATATGTCCCAGATAATGATTCAGAATTTACATCTTTAAGACTATTTTACCACTACAATGCTATTATCACACTGACATTTACAAAATCCAAGATTATTGTGTCTGGATTTTTTTTATCCCTCTAACAATACATGAACTCTGATCTTCTTTCACTAAAAGTGATTCAGAGATGCTTCAGATCTAGAAGTAGGCAATAAACATACCATTATAGCATTACTGTTTGCAAGGGTCACACTCATCAATGAAAAATAAGAACTGGCAATACATATACAATAATGTATAACACACATAGCAGGACTTATTATCTTTTCCTTAGAACAATAAAACTTACTTCCCTAAATTAATAACTATTACAAGATAGCAGTACAAGCCAAGAGCAAAAGAGAGAAGCTACTATGTAACACATCTGAAGAGTTTCAACATAATTTCAGGTTATTGCTTTAAACACTAGTACGCAATGCAAAGCATGCTACAGACTACGAATTTAACTTCCTCTAGGAGCAAAGAGCACTGAAGTGTCCACAGCTCATTTCAGAATCCAAGCTGGACATAGGCTGCTGTCAGCCAGCTAACATAAGGCTAGTTCAGATGTATCTATCTGAAACTCCCATAAAAAAAATAACAGGTGATTACCTAATAGTCAAAACCCACATCTCACGTATTTCCCAAGTATTCTTCAGATACTTCTGGCTTCTAACCAAGTGCTTTTATAATCCCTTATCCCCAGTTTCAACATATGAAAACTAAAAGTCCTTTACATACCATACTACTATTGGAGCTGGTAAACAAAATTCTATGCCTCATACCTCTAAATCCATTGACTGATGAAATCATCTAAACCACAAGCCACCTCTATTTTGAGCTTGACATCCTGTTTGATCCACTAAATTCTCTTCTGCTACCTTCTTATTTCAGAATGCAATCCAGAACCCTCTTGGAAAATAGCTATGGGCACTAATGAATATTTATGCTTATGTGCTTTATGTGATCTTAGCAAAATGGCAATATATAATTACTCACTCTTCTGAGCAATTCACATTTTCAAGTAAGTGCTGATTCAGATTAAACTACATGTAAAACAATAGCTACCATAAACCACACTTCTCAAAACCTCTACCCAAGTTAATCCCATTTACAAAGTGCAAAACCAGATGATTTGACACAGCAGCTGAGCACACAAGCTTGTTAAAATGATGAATGCAATGGACTTCCCACGGAAGACGAACACATTCAGTGGATGATGCACCCAGTCCTGCAGGAGCAGGCTGAAACTTTATTACTGTGCTATGTTACCAGTGTGTAAGTGAGCTACCCTCCACAGAGATAAGCATTTTATAGACTAATAGTTCTCCAGGGGTGGCTTTTTAGGAACACCTGGTAAGATGGACAGATCATGGATAGATGAACTACCTCACAGATCTGCAGAGTATTTACAAAACAAAACCAGAAAGTAAAAAGTATCTTGCAAAGTATTTGCAAAAAAAAATGACTTGAGGAGGGGAAGAAATGTGTGTTTGGTGGCTGGTTGCTTTGGTTATTTTTTTTCCTCAACAAAAAAAACAACCAACAAAACCAGCTGAACAAAAACCTTAAAAACCCCAAGATACCTTTTGTACGGGAACCATAATTAATATACAAATAACAATGTGCTGCATATAGCCTCACACAGGTGATAAGCTACTTAGTAAGTTAAGGCTGCCATCCATAACTATTAACTTCCAAAGGCATGTTTCTCAGCTAAGCATACACAATCCTTTACATATTTTATAACTGATACATCATAGAATTATGCTATTTCAGGATAAAAAAAACTCAAGAAACCAAACTAATACCAGCTAAAACATGATACACTTAAAGAATTCTAGTTCTTCTCAACAGAGAAATTTAGCTTTTCAAAGAAAACATAAATAATACACATATGTTTTCACCAATATCCACATTTAAAATTAAAGCAGCTCTATGAGTAAATCCAGATGGTCTAAAAATAATCCTTTAATAAATATGTACCAGCAGAAACATCCCTCTAAAATACTTACTTTATTAGTGAAATGGTACCAAAGATAACAAGTATACAAACAATCTCTTTGCTCTATGCTACTTACACATCATAAATAAGACAGCTGTTGTTGCAAGACACAATCTTTCACAGTCTTCCTGTAAGCATACATTTTTTTATTCTTTTATCAGAATTAGCTGTTTACCAGCCAACAGCATGTGGCTTAAACATCACAAAAATGGCTGTTCTATACTTTACATGGTAAAGCATTTTCTGTTGTCTTAAATGTACACAGTGGCAAGAACGTTAAATCTTATAGAAAATGAGTGATTAAGCAGCTTCACAATCAAACTGGATTTCATTACCTTAGGAGTTGGGCAAAGTTTTCATTCCTGCAATATGCTTCCCTTCCACTGCAAAAACTAACTGTGCGGAGGAAAAGTAAAACAAGTAGAAAGCAAATAGCCAATAGACTTAGTTTTTTATTTGAACTGAATGAAATAACACTTCCTATGAGGTAAGGCAATTAATAATTTGATTGCATTAAGTTGTAGTAAAAATAATCTATGCAATTTTAGCTATAATTACATCTTAAAAGCGTAACTTATCAGAAATCTCATATAACCAATTAAATTACTTCAAAGAACAAAAGCTATGTTTTGCCAAGACAAAACCACTTGTTTTGTGATTCTCTTCTAGCATGCTTTCTCCACAAAAAATGATAAAAGAATATCTACTATGTAAGCCCTGTGAAATTAGAACCTTCTTCCTCAAAGTATTTATCCCCTATTTCTTAGCATGACATTCCTTTTACATTGCCCAACAGGTATCAGTGAAAATAACAGAGAGGTAACAATTAAGGCCATCCAAATGTATATGTCTTAAGAGCTTTCTTTGATGCAGGTGATCAGAGCACACTTTGTATTCAGCTACTACTTTTTTACAGTGGTGATCCCCAAATTACATCTTTTCTCTTATTTATAAATCTCTTCTAAGAATAAAAAATAAAAGCAAAATGGAGCTTCACTATTTTAACAAGTGAATCAAACAACCATTCTGGCAAGTCACTTGCATTTTCGTCTACAGTATGGTGGTGGCAAAGTAGCAAGAGAGATCATATAAGATTTAACTAAAAATGTGTAACAGCACATATACATTTCTAGAAAATACCACATTTTAAGAAGGCACTAAAGCTTCTGCTTGTGCTCCCATATTTTTTCAACAAAAAGGAAAAATTTATTTTCTTAATGGCACCTGTACTATTTTCAGCTGAACAGACACACTGCAGTACATTGCAAAACAAAGCTATAAGTTCTGGTATAATCATAGAGATGTGCTCACTTCTCTACAGACAAAGAAAACAACAAAACAACCCCAAAATAACCCTGTAAGCTAACCTAATATCTATAACATGGCAATGTTCCTTCTAGGAACAGAAAAAGCACATGCATTGCTCAAATACTTTAAAGAAATATTAATTTCAGGGATATTAGTAAGAAATTATTTCAAATAATAAACCCTAAGAATCTCAAGCAGTGAGCAAATGAAAAACATACTAATCTGTGAGTATTTAACACAAGAACAGTAAAACCATGTTTATGCTTAAACCCCCTTTCCCTACAGTTGTCATTTAGAAGGAAAGGAAGTGCGTATATTTATGCACCATTTTCAAGTACATCAAACAGCACACATTGAAGTTTTTGTGGATTTTTTAACCTACAGGGCAAAACAATACAAAAGTCATCAACAAGCAGTATTTTAAACAACCTTCAATGCATATCTTCAGCTTTTTTTGGGAAGTACAGGTTTACATCTTTAAGCTTCTAGTTATTTGTAACAGCTTATAGCAAAACTTAACATAAATCATTTTACAAGTACAGCCATCATGGAAATGCATGGATTTTCAGAGATGAATAGTTCTGATGGCATCTGCCTTTTCATGGTATTAACTACTGGTCAGTGCCCTGTTGCTTTACAGCAAGAAGACAACAAAGCTATCACATGAACTGGAGGAGCTACTAGTACTATCAACACGTTCAGGTTGATTGCTTTGACATTTTCTTCCTCGTTCTGGGAAATAAAATGCTTTGGATTTCATTCCTTAGTAGAATTGGAAGTCCATTCTTTGCTTTAAACCTCTTCCATTTTAATTGAGAGGTTTTCTTCGTTTGGTTGACAATTTCCGTTCTGTTGTAGCTTGACTTCATCTGTCCTTTGTGTATCTCTGTTGTCTACTTCCTTGTCAGTTTCTGAATTCTGATCTTCGTTATTGTTATCTTTGTCCTACCAAAGATAAAATTATTTGACAACAAAATAATATTCTTAGCACTACAGGCTATGACTTCAAACCAACTCTCATTAATCTTATTGTTTAAATTTTGACATGTGTATCTTGTGTCTGCAAATTTTAAAATAGAGGTGTGAGCTTCTTTGCCCCACCATCTTTTTTTAAAATACACTTTCTTTTCATATGGCTGAAGTTCGGCACTTGTAACAACCCATCATCCAAGAAATTATGCCACAGAATGATCTGTCTTTATTAACTAAAATAAACTCATACATGAAGTTATAGAACAAGCAGCATCATGGAAAGTATGAGAAGCAGCTCCAGAAATTTCACTAACATTTTTTCAATAGAACGGGACTGCATTTTTTCTTTCTCATTTTTTGTCAGGTATCTGATGCATTTTTAGAGTTCTTGGGTAAGATACTTCCTCAAGCATTTGAACAGTCACCTAAACCAGCTGTGTTGTAATAGCTGAGTAATTCTGAGCACAACTAACTACTCTTTAAAGGTGTGCTGCTATTTAAATACTAAGAGTAAACAATCTGAAGATATTTCTATTTCTTTTCTTAATTGCAGTACTTCCTATTTTGTAGGGGAAATCCTACACCACTCTTTCACAACTCTTCAACTTTACTGCTATAGAATCCAATGCACAGACCAGGACCAATTCAATGAGATTGAATTGGTTATTTTAGAGATTATTTTAGAAGTAATCTTTTCAGTTTCACAGTCAAGCCACCCCTGAATACTACTTGTTACTCAATAGTCTGCCTGCTCCTCAAAGTAGGAAGCCAAGCAAGTCCTAACATAGGGCACACAACACAAAAGATAAACAAGGTGTTTCTGTAACCCAAGCAGATGAACTCCTACAGGTCAACTGAAGATCAGATATGTACACTTAAAGTGGCCTATTAACACCAACTAGCTAATACTGAACTCAAGCAGCACTAATTTGGTAAGCAACAGAAGAAATAGAAGAAATGAGTAAAATGAGAAAAAGTAGAGAGAGTATTTCAGTAACAGCTTCATTGCAGTACATCACAATACCACTTCATTCTGTTGATCACTTGGTCACACAAACTTACCTTCAAAGTAGTGGTGCTTTTGTCCGATTTCTCCTTTCCTTCTTTTTCTTTACTACTTTTTTTCTTAGAAGTAGAGCGTTCTCTTTCTCTTCTTTCATTGTTTGTATCTCTTTCTCTTTTTTTTTCTTTCTTGTTTCTGTTTCAGAAATTTTTTATTCAAATTAGGATTTGATCCAACTACAAGAAAAACCATTTGACTGCAAACTAAACACCCAGCACGGACTTTCAAAAAACCTCCCAAAATTTAACCAAAAATCTCTTTGCAAAGAATACGGCATTTTTTTTGGCTGAAGAGAGCTAAACATTTGATACACCACACACTGTATCTGCAAAGCAAAAAGCAATTTAATCTGTACCAGCTGAAAGAAATTTTATTGATTTGAAGAAATCTGCAATGCTGATTGATTTGAAATTATGCCACTGAAAGAACACAAGAGCTCAAATTGGTTAAAATTCTGACTTAGTTTTAAATTAAAACTGAATCATACTGACCAACTGAAATAATCTGAAATCATTAGCGCAGAAGCAGTAAAACAGTGAAATTGCTACCAATTCTTCCATCTTTACTAATCATTAACTTCTGCGTTTACATCAAACTGACCTTCTTGGAGAAGGAGTTCGTGAAGACTTTCTTTTTGCTGTTTTTGATGTTTTAGGAGATTTGGAGGGACTTCTGCTCTTCCTCTTACGCCTTTCTCTATGGGACCAAGAAATTCAGTATCATCAAAACCCAAAAATAATAAATTCAAAGGAGAAAAAAAGAGAAAGTTCTTACAAAGATCTAAACATATCTACTGAATTTGTCAGTCTATATTACCAACAAAATATTAACTGTACAAACAAAAAAAAATTTTTATATGCTTCAGTTTAGTGGTAAAGGCATGGCCAATGTAGGAAAAAAAGATTCACTCTATTCACCCCTTAAAAATTTTTTTTTTAAATTCTTATATGCTTGTTAACAATGAAAACACAGTGAAGTCAGTAATACTGTATCAGTTAAGAGTTTTTCAGCCAGGAAAGTAACTCAATTAAATGAGGAGCCATATTAAGACAAAACGTATAACTTGAGCAATATGAAATTCAGAAGGTAACATTACAATCTGAAGATCACTGCAACTTCAGTAAATGTATAAGCTAGAATTAGTTGGTTTGGAAGAAAACAGTGCAAAGTGAAGCCCAAGCTGTTGTCAAAGTCAGAATAAATAAAATCTATTGTTTCTCTAGTGGTCCTTGCTTAGCAAACAGAATGTCATCATTCTGTAACACAGGGAAGAGCTTGAAGTGTTTTACAAAGCAATTGTTATACATAGATAAATGGAGTTTCTCAAGTTGCCATTATGGAGTCTGATCTTGAATACAACAAACCATTAAATAACTGACCATTTATACTGAGGGACATGTTAAATTAAAGCAAAAACTGAATCAGTACAACTTCATTTAACATAAACACAGAAGCCACCTGTCAAAATAAGACTACTTTTTTCCTGTCAACTCTTTGTAAAGCAGGAAAAGCAGATTGGAAGAACAACTGAAGAAAAAAAGTTAAGTTTAAAACTTCTAGACACAGCACATTTATTTTTAAACAAAATAGCTTTTGCAATTTGTGAATATTTAAATCTTCAATATCTAGAAAAGGCAAGAAATCAACACTTATTAGATAAGTAACAAAAGGACATTTAAATTACAGTCAGTATCACAATATGGACTGATACTCTGACCTATCACAGTACCAATCCATACAGTGATACTCCATATAGCATCTACTGTGACTGTCCTGATTTCAGCCAGGATAACTTTCCCTCTAGTAACTGGAACAGTGCTGTGTTTTGAATTCAATATGAGAATTATGTTGATAATACACTGATGTTTTAGTTGCTACTTATCCTAAAATAAAGGACATTGTTTCCCATGCTCTGCCAGCAAGCAGGTATGCAAGACACTCTGAGGAAGCATGGCCAGGAGAGCTAACCCCACAGCCAAAGGTCAGTGAGGGGTGAGTGGTTGTGTAGTGCATCACTTGCTTCTCTTGGACTTTATCCCTCTCTGTCCTCTCCATTATAATTATTACTTAGTATAATTATTTTATTTTTTTGCAATTACTAACATGTTCTTTCCTAAACTCTCAAAACAAAACCTGGCAGAGCATGACAATGCTGAACAAGGAAGAGACTGGTGAGGAAGCAAAAGAAGTCAAAAAAGAACTGTCATGGTTTAACCCCAGATGACAACGAAATCCTGAGTGGCATTTGCTCATTCTCTGCCTTCTTTTGCCCCCTTTGCCCATCAACTTCCATAGCTCCACCCCACCAGGGGAGGAGAATAAGCAGGAGAAAAAGGAAAACTCCAGCACTGTACCAGCTGCTAGAAGAAATTTAACTCTCTTTCAATCAAAACCAATAGAGTGACCTCCTGAAGCTGCACAGGACAAGACTTCCGAAGTATTTTGTTCAGCAAGCTTTTAATTTATCTTTAATAAACTAAAAATATAAAATAGCCTCAAATTCATGTAGTAAATCTCAGTCACTAATCAGCTGTTCACTAGTTAACATGCATTTTGAACATCTCCACATTGATCATCACCTTTATTTAATTGAGGACACCAAAAATTGATTATTCTCTCAGTGCTGTTACTTCAGCTATACTGAATACATTCTCACTTAATTTTGCTTTCTAGCATACGTACCTGCAAATGAAGTACTTCAGCAATTGTGTTAGAAGTAGAAACTGCTTATTCAATTAGTTTTATTTGCAGTTTCTGCTCTTCTTATTTCAAGCTGAAGAATCATAACTGTCTCTCACTGCATCTGATTCCATCTCTATTACATTTGCACATAAAAAGATTTTTGTGCACCCATTTAATTAAATGCCTTACACAATACCAACAGCAAAATTTAAGAAAACTAAGTTCTGAATACTTTTATAGTGATCCTGTGTCTCTTAATTATAAATGGAAATAAAATTCTGCATGTCATCTGGTGCTACTGGCTCTGCTAGCCTGTAAGACAGCTCCTTTTCCAATTGATTTCACTTCCCCGGGTCTGTTTCTTTTTTCAGCCAGGAATCACAAATAACCATCTTATTTCCAGTACCTGTGGCCAAAGCAAGTCAGCAAAGCAAGGTCAGCTGCATGTGTAAGTCCTATTCCACCTTCACCTCTTCTCCAAAAAGTTGACTATTTGCCCAATATTTTATGTTTACACTTATATTTCACATTTTACATGATCAGCAGTCAACTGCTGTACTGAAATTCAGGCAACTGAAATACCTATCTGTTGAATGATCTTCACTGGAAAGGTCTGAAACCATTTCAACTATGCAATGTCCACCACCAAAGACCCCTCATGTAACCCAACCTACTCAGAATTGCTTGTCAGAGAGCAATGACATTACTGAGGTTGGAAGAAGCCTCTGAAGATCACTAAGTCCAAACAATCCCTTCCCCACCTTACAAGAGGGTCAATCAGAGTACATTATTCAGGGCCATATCCAGTCAGATTTTTGGTTGGAATAGACAATCCCTTAAGGTAACTGGTTCCAGTCTGCCAAGCAAAACCATAATTTCAACACTAGAAAAAAAACCCCTTTTTTTCCCATAGCTCAATATGTGCCTGTCACCTCTTAATTGTCACAGGCCTCTGCTGGCTGTCTTCATGCTCTTATCAGATATTCATATATATTAGTGAGATGCTCCTCAGCTTTCTCTTTTCCAGGCTAAATAATCCCAGATTCCTCAGTATTCCCCTGTATGAAGGAAGCTCCAAGTCCTTTATCAGCTTCACGGCCCTTCACCGGACTCACTCCAGTACATCAGAACGTCTTGTAATGGGAAGCCCAGAAAAAGATTCTAAATGTGTCCTTACCAGAGGAGAGAGGGAAAGAATTACCTCTCTTGACCTACTCACAACATTGCTGGTTTCCTTGACTGCAAGGACCTGGCAGCCAGCAAGTCCCCATGCCATATTGGTGCAAAGGCACTATTCCTGCCTGGGCATAGGACTTGTCCTTTCTCTTTGTTCAAGTCCATGAGATGACTATTAGTTCATTTCTCCCATCTGCTAAAGTTTCTCTAATGGCAGATCAGCCTCCCCCCACAGCTGGTTCTTTGTTGTTTGCAAAGCTACAGAGGATGCACTCTGTCCCACTGTCTAAGCTCCTGATAACAACATTCACAAGTATTGGCCTCTGCATTGATGCTCCAAGGATAGTTATATCTGAAAAAAAAAATTGTAAATCCATAATAAAAAGTGTCCAGCTTCAAAAGAACACTACCCTTGTTTAACAATATCTGTATTACATCAAAGAAAAGTTTTGTACTTTGACTGCACTAGAAGAAACGCATTAATTTTATTAAGAATTCCTTACTCAAGTACATGACATTGGAGCCTTCCCACAGCACTTTCTTAACTAGTAAGATTCCTAAGGGGGAGCAAAATTATTGCAAACTAGAACATGAGTTTTTGGTAACACCCATCTAACTACACCTACTATTTGGCAGTGGAGCCTGGTTTTCCACCAAGGCTCCTATATAAGATACATATTGTGAAACTCTTACATATTTTTATGCATTTATCCAATTCAAAACTCTGAGGCCTATGGATTGAAACAAATGGTTTCAAAGCTGACAGAAGTATCTCTATGTGGGTCTTCCACTCATTTAAATAGGAAGCTGCATATGCTTAATGAAGAAACAATATTTTGCCATAAACCTCATAACACAAACACAATGTTCAGAAACCATTACACCCTTTTTTTGCCTTCTATGAACCCTGAACTAAAGAATTTCGAGGACTAGAGGAGCTCTGCTTTTGTCTAGTGAAACTATTACAATAGGTAAAACTTGTCCAATTTGTTCAGCATTTCATTATCTCAAGGTTACAGATATAGTTTGCTGTTTAAATCTGGTACAATACTACTGAACTCCCTAATTTCTGATGTAATAGTGGGGACTTTATCCACCAATGCTTCTAAACTTAACTTAGCTGCTTTTAGAATATGCCTGAGCTTGCTTACAGAGATTGTTCATAATCTCACAGCCGCCTTCTGCTGTAACAAATTTATCCAGACTTCCCGCTAGTTAAGCTCCCCTCAGAGCCAAAACTAACAGCCACATCAACTTTGTTTTCCTGCTTATTGTCAGCAGGGCAAAGGAATGTTACTTTTAACTTACACCTGGCCATCAGATAAACAATGTATCTGTCTCTTCCAAGGCTAGCCAGCCAACCTACACGCTTGCTCCCTGCAGTTCAGCCATCCAGTCAAAGAGCGGCAGTATTAGAAAACAACTGTTTGCAAGATCTACAGACCAAAATGCTGCAGTAAGTAAGTAATGAAAGAACCATGAAACAGCGACTCAAACTTTCATCAGGGCAAAGATAATGTATGTGATGCTGGTCAGAACTTTTGGCTGTCTGTAACATACATATACGTACAAAAAAAAATCTCATTACTGTCCGCAAAGTTTATACAATATGGTTATGCAAAAGTCAAGCACCAGCAGCCCAACAAGAAACTCTGTTATATCAGGCATCATATAGAGCTTCTTATAACAGATGTTACTTGAAAGGAAAATCTACAAAACAGAAATAATACAAATTTATTTAGTAAGAGCTATAGTGACATCAATACATAAAAGTTAGGATGGTGTCTCACTGATCTGAAAAGTCAAAAAAAAAAAAAAAAAACAAGCATGAAAAATTCTAAACAAACCTGCTGGAGCTACGAGATCTTCTTGAAGAGCTATAGCTTCTCGGGGGTGTTCTGGATCTCTTATCTTTCTTCTTTTTATCATCTCTCTCTTTTTCTCGCTCCTTCTCCTTATCCCCATCTTTTTCTTTTTCTTTGTCTCTGTCCTTTTCTTTGTCCCCTCCTTTGTCCTTATCTCCCTCCTTGTCCTTAATCTTCTCTCTGTCCTTCTCTCCTTCTTTCTCAGTATCTTCTTTTTCTTTGTTATGATCTACCTCTTCCTTGTCTTTTTCCTTATCTTTATCTTTTTCCTTTTCCTTGTCCCTATCTTTATCCTTGTCCCTGTCCCTGTCTTTGTCTCGGGCTCTCTCTCTATCTTTGCTTCGCTCTTTATCTCTCTCCTTGTCCTTCTCCCTATTTCTCTCTTTATCTCGCTCTCTTTCCCTATCTTTGTCTCGATCCCTATCCTTCTCCTTGTCTCGATCTCTGTCTTTCTCTTTTTCTTTGGCCTTTTCTTTTTCTTTGATCTTTTCTTTGTCTCTTTTCTTGTCCCTGTGAAAAGCCAAACACAAACCCATTAATTCATCTTTGAACTTTCCAATTAAAATTACAACTAACTTTTAAATATACATCAAGATAAAGTGCACATCTCTGTTAAAAAATAGTAATTCTTCAATATTTTAATTTTTCACCCCTGTTCACAATAGGAGAAAGCTATATATAGCTAGTAAATAAACAGCTATATACAGCTAGGAAAAATTTGGAAACCAAACTGGAGGAGGGGAAGCCAAAACCAAACCAAACTACTATCTTCCAAGTGATGCTACTATCATCACTTTGGAGAGAATGTGTCTGTTCACCTCAGTTATGTAATTATACAAACATATATTTTCTGTATTTTGTCAGGAGTGAGACAAACTCTACAATCTGTAAATCCACTCTTTACTAAAAATGTATCCACATAAAATGGCCTTCAGATTAATCATTGCCAAATGAATAATGACAGCTAACTGACAGAAGTCTTCATATTCTACAGTTTTCTCTCACACAGATATCCTTTAACTGCTTGGCAATCCAACACCACTTAATACATAGAAATAAAAAGAAAACATGGACAAAATGTCACCAGATTACCTTACAAGGCAAATGTAAGATCCAAAATTAATCAAGACAATTCAACCATCTGTAATGTCACTAGGAATCTGAGAATTACTAAAAAACGCTAATACAGTAAAAACAGAAGAAAGGAAAATAGCTTCTTTGGGACAGGAAGCATGATAGATGTTCATTAAAAGGATAGTGAGGAAAATTCCATCTGATGTTCAAGTTATCAAGTCAAACAAAAACTAATTAGCTAACAACTTTGGTTGGTTAATAACAACATTTTAGTACAGGACTTTGAAAATGCAAGACTCCATCTTTTCCCTCTAGTACAGAGACACATAATGAAAGAACAGTTGTTCAGAGAGAGAAACAGGAGAAAGAGGTAGAGGAAAAATTGATTAGCATGCCTTATTGTGTCAAGAAGAACCAGACTGACAGAAGTTACCTGATATTGGTATCTATTCTATATTTTTACAGATTCTAAAAGAGACTCCTTCACACATGAAAGATCCAAAGCACTCAAACTTTCCTCCAACTGAGTGATGTTTTGCTGTATCTCCTCCTCAACTGCAAATTAACAGCACATTGTTGTATACTCTACAGACTGACAACTTTGATTCCCATCAGGTTCTGTCAAGTACTTCATTAGAAGTCTCAGAGATGGAATGTAACATCATAAAGATGAAACAGCACAGAGTCCCCATAATACCAGCATTACAGCCTCCCAAGAAATGTCTTCTAGTTAATTTATAAGAGATTTCACTGAACTTCACCCTTCCAGTAAGCAGACTCAAGAAGCTCCAGAAAGCAGAAACAGAGAATAAAAAGGATCCATAATAAAACTCAGTCAGCTATGCAATCTAGTTTTGTTTCCACACAGGTCCACACATTTGCAGCTCTCTTGCCCACAAAACTTAGCTCCTACAACAAGAGGCAGCTGCACAACCTAAGTACAAATCTCCCTTTAAATAAATCAGAGGAATTACAGAAATGAAACCAAGAACACACCAAGACTTCTATTCATGAAGCTATTTACACAGGCACTTTTGATTTGAACTTAATTCACTACTTCATCCCTAAAAAAATTACACTATGATCTTGTTTAAATGTCACAGTCTAATAATTAGATGATGAGACATAAAAACTAATAAACTAGATAAATACACACATACACACATCCTGAAACATATATATGTCATACAATCGACATACGCATTTGTTCCTGCTGTTAATACGAGAAAAGTCAAAGATGAAAATAAAAGGTTATGCACAAGAACTTTATACACGTTCTCACAATACAGGATCAAGGTCAGACTGAATTCAACCTTCTCAACAGATACATATCAAACAAGCACTATCAAGTTTTTAGTAGGTTCACAAGCTACATAGGGTATTCCTTAATTATTGGTTGTAGTCTGACAAAATTTTCTTTTCAGTCAGCTTTGTTGTCAGTACAAATGTAGATGAGACTATCAAAGTTCAGGTGCCTCAGCGTGATCATTTAACCCCTGGAGGCACCCTACAGGCTACAAGAAAGATAGTTAACTATCATAGTCAAGACCACTATACTCAGTATTAAAATTTACTTTCTGTCTTTTTGTCCCACAGATGAGACTCCACCCTTTATGGTAACCTAAAAGGTTTGTTAATTTTTTTTTTTTTCCAAAAGCTGTATTTTGAGCTGACAATACCATGTTGTGGAACAGAACTCACCGAGAACGAGAGCAGCTTCTTGATTTCCTTCTTTCTGTAGATCTAGACCGTTTTTTCAGAGGACTTCGGGATCTGCGTCTGTCCTTGTGTCTTGAGAGAGATCTATTGCCAGATCTACTTCTAAATGAAGAATATCAGAAGAAAAATAATTTAATACGGAAACTTCAAACAAATTAAGTCAACCAACAACACGACAGTATACATTTGTTGTGTCACCACAAATTCTTATCTGGCACCTTCAAGAATGACACCGTAATAACATACTGTCAGCAAATGTTTTTGGAAACATGGATACTTTATGCTTCACCATATGTAACATGCTGCGCTTTGAAGCCATTTAAGTTATACCAGTGTTTCGTAATAATCTGCATGAATCCAGAAAATAGAAGTTACTACAATTTACAACAGTTGTCTTTACAAAATGACACTGCATAAAATCTGATTGGCAATTTGCAGCAGATTGTAATAATAAATTACATTTAATTTCCTTTCCAGGCCCAGGCACTTACTGAAGTCTGAGTCATCAAAGAAAGAGGACTTTGGTTGCAACAATCTCTTCTTGCTCTGTTATCCATCCTTGTAATTTAAATTCATAAAGTCAAGTTACCCTTCCACATAAAAGGATCTGTTAGCATGGATTTCAGTTGTAATTAAAGTGTAGATACTCTGATTTTTTAAAAAAGTCTTATGCAGATTTGATGAACAGCACTTGAAATTGTTTTTCCAAAATACTCCCTAATTTCTGGAAGACCCTTTTCCCCAGGGAAACAAAAACAAAAAGCTGAATTTGCATGTTAAGTTTCAGAAAACCACATCATTGGATACTTCGCTTCACAAGGCACCACGAAGTTTAACTTACCATAGAGAGAAGGATCACATATATTACTGAATAAAACCTGAAGAACTGTGAAGTACAAGAAGTAACAACCGCACCTACCTTCCACAGCTCAAGACACAGAGCTGAATGATGCCTCACGATTTTAGCTGTTATATTTTTCATACATTTGTAATCCTGCAATTCCTTAGTTAAATAACTCCATATAGAGTGTTAGCTACTGTTCTCCCATTTTGATCAGATAAAGCAACTCCTCTCCAGGCCTGGGAGTCAAGGACACCTTACTTTCTCAGGCCCCGAGAAATGTAAACAAGAGTGAGTTAGGGGAAAAGCAAACTTGGGGTAAATGACTTCATTACTTGAAGCTGTAATTGAAAGATTAATCCCCAATATGCAAATAAACCAAACTTATAAAAGTGTGAAAACCAATGACCTGCTTTGGGTCCACTTTGGGTGTAGCCCCTGGGGAGGGCTTTGTCTGCCCTAAGTGTATGTCGAAGTCTTTCAATAAATCTAACTGCTTTTTATTCCTTTAAGTTTGTCTGGCCTCTGTTTTTAGGTAGTTCCAAATGGCATCAGTAAAATATACCAAGAAGAGAGAAAGCCATTTTTTAGCTACAGCTTTGTTCTCCTTATCAGCAGAGAAATACAAATCAACTGTAAGTGCAATTTATTGGACTGCAAATTATGTGAATCAAAGCATAACCTTCAATAAATTTTATGTCACAGAGATGAAAATGATGTTATATAAAACAGTAAAACAGGGAAGCAGTAAGGATAGATTATTTTTATGGATGAAGCTGCTTCAACAAGTCAGACTGGCTTTTTTTCAGCATGTTCTCAAAAGTGGCAGTGGCAATATTACAAAATTTAACATAACATAGTAAAATATAATAATTATCATTTGTTTAAGGAACAGGTTTTCCACATTTAAAGAAAGAAAAGCTTATCTTCTAGAATTTCACTTGGTTTGTGCCAATACAAGATAATACTGAAATGACTGCACTGTTGAACAAAAACCAGTTTGTTTTTCAGTTATGCCTTCAGTTATGGACATAGCAGAGAAGCAAGCAATAAGGAAGTGACCAAAGGGTCCTTCCTGCATTAAAAAGGCACCTGACATTTTGAAGTCACTAGAGAACACTTGCTGTGGTTCCCTGCTGTTGCAAAACTGAAGACTGCACTTGTATCACATTTATTTGATAGTATAATTGATGATAACTCCCTCTCACCAGATTTTCTGAATTTAAAAGTATCCTAGCCGTCTTGTTTGAACACATGAATGAAAGGATGCCTCAGAGCTGCTGCTGCAATATGGACAACATCCACCGTTTAAAAGTGTAAGCAATCAAATAACAATCCAAATTTTGGGGGTTTTTTTCGTCCTCAATACAGCCAAATATCTTTAAATTTATTTACCTAGGTTCTCAGAATATACTCGTGACATTGAAAGAACCTGGACCATTTTGGGAAGCTTTTATAATTCTCACAGAACAAGCCTATTTCAATCACAGAAAAAAATCCTAATCTTCAAGAATTATCTGATAATTTTCTGTTTCAGAACTGAATAAATTTAGCAAAGCAAACAAAACCTGAAAAATGAGAAACTGCCCCTGAAGCCTTTTCCATATGCTTTTTAAAAACATTTACAGGACAAAATTAACTCAATACTTAGAAGTTGAGAATAGTACCAAAACCAGTCAAAAAACCAGCCAACCCCATCTGCTCAGGTGTTACCAGTAAGTTATATGCTTCATACACAAAATGCAGGTTTCTCTCCAAAATACAGGTCACAAAATGTTATTTGAACACACAGTCTAATGCACAAAAACAAAAAATGTACCAAAATCCACAGAACTCATTTTACATGACACAGGACGTACCTTCTAGAATGTTTAAACTGAAACTAATCCTATAAACATTCAGGGTTTAGAGGAAAACAGTATCTATTCAGTGAAAATTTCTGGTTATGCTGATCTTCTGGGTGCAAGTTAATTATCTTTACAGCAACACTTGTCTATAACTAAAAAATATCAGTAACCAGCACCTTGCAAAAAATCCCAATATGATCTTGCAAAAAATCCCAATATGTCTGAAACAAAAAGCATACCTACCTGTGTTTTGAGTGTGATCTTTTCCTTCTAGATCGGGATTTTGAGCTAGACCTGGATTCTGAACGAGAATGGGAACGAGATCGACCGCCTTTTCTTTCACTGCTCTTTCCAGACTCTGAGAGGAAAAAACCACTTTGCAGTGTAAGCTCAGAACATTTAAAGATCCCAGTTAACAATCTGGCACAAGTGGAATGTACCACATATATTGCAAGGGGCCTACTCTCTGCACATCTTCCTTCTTTGCAAATATCCTTCAGAAACATCCAAGAAAGTCATTGCATATACTCGTTGAGTGCAGCCATCCTGCAGCAGTACACATAAACCAGATAATTATAAACAGCTAGCTCTACTATGAGTGGGATTTATGTTGCTGCCACAATGCACAAGATCATAACACGTCCTCCTTTTGCTCTATTTATTTAATATAATTACCTTCTTATTTTTTTAATAACTTGAGAAGAATAGAGTAAATTTAGAGGGCATAATTTTGAAAACAAGCATAGAATATAAGTATTACTGTCTGTAATTTTAGATATTTCAAACACTGTACAAATACTGATGTTTTATTCCACATTGTTTCATAGGAGGAAAGGAAGAACAGAACAGGCTGAAAAGTCTGACTGAAGGCCAGAAAGTCAATAGAAACCTTAACAGTGAGCTCACCACAGTTAAGAGCCTAATTGCTATTCTGTTGCTTTACAGCGATAAAGTGCTGGAGTTTTTATTTTTAAACAAAAAAAACCAATAGAAAATAATTCCCCCCAAACAACCCTCAAGACTCCACACTATCTGACCAATACAAGACAATATCTGGGTTTGTTAATAAGAATGGCAAAAAAAAGTTGCTGATGAAAAGAAGCAGAAAGTTTACAAAGTTGCGATTTTTTTTTATGCTGTAGTTTTGCAATCAGTTTAAGCCAACGTAAATCACCACTGCAATGTCTGACCTCTCAACACAACACCACATTCCTCCCTGAGTTGGCATGTCAGTGTTAACAGGGAAACAATCTCCATGAAAAGAAATCCTTTACAATATGTTAATATTTATCCCAGATTTATTCTCTGATCTCATGTGCTTTAAGGATGCATACAGCCTTTAGGAATCATGAAAAAGAAACCAAATTCACTTGCTGCTTATAGATGAGGAAAGCATAACATTACAGCTTTCAGAACCAAGCTAGCTCACGCTCATCATAAAACTATGGCACTAGTGAGTGCTAAAAGACAACAAAAAATAGAAAGCATATTCTTTTAAATGTTTTCAAGTGCTCTTAACTTAAAAAGTGCCATCATTAAGTACGGATTTAGTATTAAATTTGCAATGTTTGAAAACATTCAGTGAACATACATGCGAAAACAAGATACGATGACATAAAAAGCTTCCTGCCACTGCTTAGACGCATGAACAGAATTTTGATTATTTTGGTTTTTTCCCCAACATGTACTGACTGAATAGCTCTTGATACTCTTGTGTCTGAAAATGCTCTTGAAACGTGTACCAAGGTAAACACAGAACGCGCCTGTTCAAGTAATTATTAATTAACACAATATACCTACCTGGCTCAATAGCAGCAGATATAAAAGACTGAGCTTCCCTTACTCTCTTCATCACTTCTTCTAGCTCCTTGGCAGCAGCTTGTGGTGTCATTTCAGGAGGCTTCACTATTGCATTATTGGAGTGATTGATCCTAAATTAAAGAAAAATAACAACCTTTCATTCTTAAATGTCTGAACAGGGCAAATGAAAAACAAGTAAGGAAACAACTTTGTATAAAATTAAAAACTTAAAAGTTTAGCAAAACACCCATCTGTTCCAAGTATCCAAATCATCTTTTATTACTATGAAATCTTACCACTTTTAAAGAAAGGCAGCACAGCATTCTTATGTTACAATATTTTTAGAAGTCCAGGAAGTTACTTCTCTATTTCAGATCAAATCTTCACATTAATACCTACTAACTACGTACACATCATACTGATAACTTAATTAGTACTATGGACTTTAAAGATCTTTTTCACTATTATAGCTTACACTACCTCAAGATTAATATAAATGTGTTTTACTCAATGCTATACATATTCTATTGAGAGAAATTTATGCCAAACCGTGAAACTGGAACTGATAAAAATGTTTTGGTTTGTTAACAACAGGTTCATATACTGAAAAAAAATTAGTCGCAGCATTTTGCTACACATAATTCATAAATGTGTGTATAATGATAAAAAGAAATGTCTCATTCAACAGTAATATGGATAATTAATTTCTTACTTCAGTGGCCGATCCCCAAACATAACTCCATTAAAGGCAAGAGCTCGAGGTACAGAATTTTGGTCTGCAAATTCCACGAAAGCAAATCGTGTTGGTTGTGTCTCATCACCTGCCATTCGCACAAATTTGACTTCTCCAACTTGCTTAAAGAATTCAAGCAGCTGATCTGCTGTCGTAGTCTGGGAAAGAGTTGAAGAGCTCAGCTGAAGTAAACTATACAATGAAAATTACGTAATATATTGGGTAGTCTAAGAGCCACAGGATTTTGGAATGATATCTCAGCATCATTACAAAGCATCATTGGGAATGTTACATTTTAAGTCAAAAAGAAGTGTATACTTTCTTCCATTAATCTAAAGAATATTCTACACTCTTAAATAGTACAAGCCCTTAGTCCTTCATCTAGGTGAAAAAAAAGAAAAGAAATTTACATGGGATTTTCCACTTTTTAGGTAACTAATCTGAAGTAACTGGTAAGAAATTTCCTTATACTCGTTTCAAAGGTACTAATTGTGACTTTTGATCAACTAAAGCAAATAAATCCAAACAATATTGAAGGATTTAGATTTTACTTTCTTCTAGCTACCAGTCTGTTTTATTTCATCACAATCAACAGTACTTTTACACTCAGTAGCTGTTTCAGAAGCCAAAACCTACGAAATGTAATACTTACATTGCTATCAGTCAAAAGCAAATGTTTTTCAATTAATCTGACCATCGTTCAAAAAACCAAGCTTCTGATTGAAAGACATTTATGCTAATTGTGCAGCTTCCAGCAGGACACATCATTCCATCTTACTGTACTTAAGCAACTACACAGTGCTGTGGAGGACTGCTACCATCATCTCATGACTTCTGAGGACTGTACATCTAACACAAGCAAACTGTACATTTAATCAGCCCACAATTAGAAGTAGGTTTCTTTAAATGATCTACAGTGGATTCTCTGGTATTCTGACAACACCCAGTCTAATCTGACTGGCACATGAACCTTCAAAATTCAAAACATCATGAATAAAAAAAATTAGGGGGTTTTGTTTTAGTATGTAAGATTAGAATTCATAGATAACATTTTCATACCTTCTGTTAGTATTTCCACAACATAGAAACAATAAAAAGCTACCTGAGAATTCAAGTTTCCAACATAGACTGTTCTCCTGATTTCATCAATTTTGGATGGATCCACATTTCCCATAATTGGTGGTTGTGGTATTTCTCCCAGTGCCGTAATGTTAGGATCCAATGCTGCTGCTGGTATAGCCCCTAAAGTACCAAGTGAAACACCCAGCTGGAAAATACAAGCACAGAATACAGTTCACAGCCAAGCACTGGTGAAAGATATTCCATTTCTTAATACTTGATTAATACTTCTACAAAAACAGATATAACGAGTACAAGCAATACTTTAAAGGTCACAGCGCAACAGTTTTTTTTAAAGAAAAACCTACCCAAAATGAAGCTTCCGTAGTTAAGATATTCTGTGGGTTATCAGTTAACATCTTACAAAAGAGATCTGGACAGGGATTTATATTAATCACAGAACATACAGGCTCTAATGCTTAGAGTCAAAAAAATTGAGTAAGACTCTTTCAGACACTGCTAGTATACTTAGTTTTTGGAAACAATTATTTGGACTAGATAAGGAATGGCTGAGATCTTGCTCAGCAAGGAAAGAAGGGAACTTCCAGTGCTCAGGATCAAAGGACACATAACCGTATTCTGGACAAATGAATCACCCAAGACAAAATTAATTACAGTTGAAATGCAAAGAATGTTTTAAGCTCTTCCACTCATACTTAGAGAATGTGAAAAGTATACAGCTCTCATGTTTGTAACTGGAAGTGGAAAACTCTCCTGTGAAATGTTATAAAAAGTCACTTAAAAATCACTACAAAATCGGTCCATTGAGTTCCTGGCTTGAATTTTCTCTACCCAGAAAGCAACTGCCTTTTCAAGAAATTAATTTCTAAGAAGTGTGGGGAATTCTTAATAAGCCATCAGTACCTTCTTTTATGTAACAAAGGAAAATACTACTCTATTTTAACCTTAAATTTTCCTTCAATAAACCAGAGCAACTTGCTGATGCCAAGAAAGGCTTACAGAGGCAAAAGGAAATGGAAGAAAAATAGCATAACCAACCTCCTCTACTTTTCATAGCGAAACCATTGTTAAGACAGTCTCACAGTCAAAAATCTTGCCACAGAGATATCAAGGAAAAGTCTCTACTGCAGCCTTTAATATTCTGAAGAACTGGTGTCAATGTGACTTAGGTTTTAATAAATTTTTTGTCAGTGGTAACCACCACTGGACCAAATTAATGACCCTACAGGGTAGGACAGCAATTAAAAATGAACAAAAATCAAAACCAGTATTTACCCACTATTTTGGAAAACAGTTATCTGAAAGAAAAACCCTGGGAAGGTAGTACATGGATATCTTCTGATCAATCCTCAGAAGAGTCAACACAGCTAAACCCTCACTGCAACATCCACTGACTCGACAGTCCTCATTCCCTGTCCACAGAAAAGGCTACCGAGAACAAAGGAAACTGGAAAATATACAGACACCGAACTTCACTTACTGTAGTCAAGGGAGTTGGCGTAGGTATAGGAAGCAACCCTGCACCGGGCATCAGACTTGTCATAGTAGGAGCAGGCGCCAATAGAGACAGGGCTTTGGCTTCATCTGGGATTTTACCTGAAGAAGCAAATGAAAGCATTACACAGAGTTGGAACACTAGCCAGATGTTACTCTTTCTATGATTTTACAATTACCCTTGCATTTAAAAATGTAATAAATAACAATGAATCTATCTACCAGATCCTTACAAAGAAACAAATAACTTAAGTTTTTCCTTTTACCCTGCTCTACTAGGAAAAACAAAAGTGAGCAAAACTTCAAAGACTAGCAATCTCATTAATGGATTATTATTTTAAAAACTGAATAATGTATATAATTATTTAACACTTTGAGCTATGGGTCACCTGTACTGGAAACTTAACGTTCATGAACCAAACGATATCAAGCATGGACGCTTTCCCAGGGCGGTGTTTTCGCGGTGATCGAAAGTTGTTTTACACATGACAACCGTTCGTGTTGGCTGCATCACTAATAGCACACAGAACATCAGATACAGAAAAGAAGAACATTTTTTAAAGTTTAATCCCCAGAAATGGCAAATAACCAAATCAGCAAAAGAAAGAAAACAAAAAAAAAAAAAAAGAAAAAAAAAAGAAAAAAAAAGAAAAAAAAAGAAAAAAGAAAAAACCAAAGTATGTGCTGACTGAAATTTGTGCTTTTCTTTATTCCTTTGGTGTTACCTGCTTAGAATGTAAAAATAAATAAAACATAAAATAATAAACTACTGAACTACTGTGACCGCACAGAATACACACTACAAGTGAAGTTGAAGGTGGAGGAAGGAAGAGTAGAAAAAACTTAAGATTTGTACTGTCATATTCTAGTCACCTCAGTTTATCTGAAACTCATAAGTTAACTCTAAATTTACTGAGAATGAAGAAAACCATAATTTCAGCTTGACCAGACTAAGCTAGCTCTCTTTTCCCAACCTAAGTACTTCCTGCTATTTTGACCTGATTATAGTCCTCCTGTAATACCAAAAGTAAGTAATAACGAATCTGAATTAAATGTTGGTTTCATTGAATGTTAGCCATGATTAGACTACTAAATGAACCCCTAAAATATCTCCAAAACAAAAAACATTAAATGTTAAACAATTGTGATTACAATTAAATGTACATTTTAAATTTGAAACGCAAAGGGACTAAAACTGGCACAAACATTAAACACAAAGCTAAAAAACTTGTGAAGGAAGTTCTAACTACACTGGTATTTACAATCTGTTCAAAATTACTGGCATAACTGTACATATGCTAACCAACTGAGTCCTTTGGTACTTCCCCATGGATCTTAATATAAGTAAATGCTCTTATTTTAACATTGTTTTAATAGTCAAGTAATGCAGAAAAAATGTGCCAGTGGTTTCCTGCCTTGATTAAAACTGCATGTTTTAACAAACATGTCAGATGGATGTTTCCTTTACAAAACATCTAAATCCAAAATTTGAAGATTAATATTCTTATTGAAAAGGAAAATTCAAGGTAGGTTTCGAAACACCATGCAGGTTTAGCAATATGAGTTCCAACTGACACCACAAAAAACATACTAATTTAAAAAATTAAAAGAAACAAGTGCTGCAAACCTGCTCTATAGATCTGTGGGAAAGTTTGGGTTACAGCTGGATATGACTGAATGACAAAACAAATCTAAAGGAAACTTAATTTATATGTAGCATGGGTGGAACAGAACAGATAAAATAACAGTACCCCTTTTTTTCATGCTTCCTATTTACATTTATTTTATTTATGTTAAATTTTGAGACACTTTGCAACCCAACATGTAAGAAACCACTTAATTTTGCTAACTAAGAGAGAAAAACAGGAAAATTATTAGCACTTAGCAGTTAACTGTGCAATAATGACTTCCAGGACTTTTTAAAAAAACATGCATGAATCTAAGCCACCACATCACAATGTTCAGCACTCTCAATAGATCTCATTTTGAAGTCAGGCATGCAATGAGAGGTGTACCTGATTTGCCTGATTGCTCAAAAGTATCAGGTACTCTGTGTACCCTGCCTAATATGTAGGCCTACTAACAGGCTTTTGAATATAGAGTTCCAGCAGATGTGCATGCAAATTAGGCACAGAATTATGTACCAGTTCTGAAAATCAAAGTATTCGTTTTTTCAAATGAGTAATGAACCAGAACATCCTTAACAGTTCACATCTTGCAATTAAACAGCTACCCATGCATGTTTCATGTTCCATGTTTCTATGGATCAAGAGACATGGCACAATTAAATCCAAAGGTAGAAATGGTTCTGATAGTGGTATGTCTGCATGCTAACGGAGATCCTTGGTCAGTACTGTACATAAGTATATGCCTAATTTAAGTATGCACTTACATACAGCCAATTCAATATACACTTAACCAAGTAAACTTATAAAACGCTTAAGCATTTAGCCCTTTTAAACAGGAGCTCAGTTAGGCACATATAACTAAGACTGACAATGACTCAAGTTCAAAAAGCGACTTCAGTAGAAGCATAAACTTTAAGTATATGGATCATAGCACTGAAATAATTGAAATAATTAACTTGCTGAAACATTGTTCCAGAAATCCACTGAACATTTCAGTTAAGTTCACCACTCTAGCAGCTCCCAGAATGAACAGCATGCATATGTAAATTGTAAAGTTTGCAGCATTATTTCCAGAATACTTTGGTCTTTCAACAATGTGAAGTTCTATTTTAAATACAAAAATCAAATTGGTCAGTTCCACATCACAAAGAAAGATTCATTTGTCTTGTTTTCAAGAATGAGAAAGGGTCTATTTCTACAGACAGAACCCTGAAAATTTGCCTGTATATTCAATGACTGTCTCTTCAGAAAAACTTTTCCAGTTTTTAAGTCTGTGCCAAGTTTTGAAAGAATTCTAGAGAACACTATTGTGGAGGAACAAAAATATATCTCCAGTATCTTGAGTATCTACCTCCATATTCTTTAAATAGTTTTGAAAAACAAATTAACATGCAAGTCCAAATAACTTCATGAGTTAAAAGCTTTAAATTTTGCAGTTTTACCTCTGTGGTTGTATTTGTAAAGGAAATACAAGCCCACTGAGTACATCAAAACATGTGGGTTATGACACAACAGTTTAGGACAATTTAGTTTAAAAATAATACTTTCATTTTTAGAATATAGTATTTAAAATCTGAGTAAGAGTGAGGTGGAGATATTTATTTTCTAATGAGGGAGCAGTCAAAATAATTATGCCATATCTATACCACATCCTTAGACAGATTTCTTAGAAGCTCTTCTGCTTAGTAAACTGCAGGTTCTATGACCATTTATTGATTCTCCCCTTCGCAAAAGAATCTGGAAGCAAATGTACGCTGTCCCAGCATGGCTTAAAGGCATGGTTGTGATTGCTACTTTTGTGTACCATTAGTCTAAAGAGCCCTAGACAACCTAGTCCATACTAGAACCCATTTTGTTGGAGGCTAAACAGAATCATCTGTATCCAACAAGTACTAGTGACAGTATTTTTATTCCTCAAGCACTCCAAAGAAATTAATTTCCAATTCTTTGTAGTGAACCTACAGTTAACTCTCACATCCAAAAGCGCTCCTGCAATGAGTTTGCTTGTTTTAAAAACAGTGAAGAGTTCATAGTCTACTTTAAACATTAAAAAGGTCATTATTTTCCTTCTATTTTACATCAATGGAACATGTATGATTAGAAATAAAATAATTTCTATTAGATCCAACTCATGAATCTTAGTGGGTTTAGCAGAAGGGAACAAAGAGATTAGAGCTACTGGCAATTACAACTGTCACAGCCAAATCAAACAAAGATCACAAATCAAAGCTCTTCCCAGCTGCAGTGCAGAGTCAGGTGAAAGGAGTGAAACCAAGAGATCCCAGTGCAGCTGGCTGGGAAGAGCAGTGTCTGAGGACTAGACACACCACTTTGTCCACCAAGACTTCTGTTTCACAAGAAGAACATCCTTTAGGGATCAGTCACTCCAGTATGAACTGCCAGGGCTTCTGGGACTCTGGGATGACTGCAAAAACCCTTTTTTTTTCTGACTTTAATGTTTTTTTAAAAACATCTTCCTGAAATAATCACCACTAGAGCATGTCAAAAGTGCAACACACACACACACACAAAGATAACTGATTCAATCTTCCCACAAGTAACAGTGTTAAAAGACAAGGTGTCTCACATTACACACTCCAACCAAAACTTCAGGCTGCATTTGTACTTATGAGTGGTAAATAGTTTTTTCTGAGAGCTACAGAAAGAAAAATTATGAAATCTTACTACCAACTGACCTCACTGGAGAAAGGTTTCATCAGAAGTAAGCGAATATTTCATGACAGTCAATATTCATAAAAGTTCAATTTCAGAAATAATTATTTTAAATTCATCATGTTAGACATAAATAGTAAACCTTCTTTTAAACAGCTGGTGCAACATAAAATGGAACATTCTGCTGAGAGAAAGTAGCAGAAAAATATTATAACTTTACTTTCTAAAGTCGCTTTCTCCAGAAGTAAGAATTTTAACTGTTCTTTTCCAAGATAAACTCATAAAGCACAACATATGGAAGACTGCATCTCAAAACACTATTCCTGTCTTCTGACACAATGTACTCATCTACACAATTTAGATACTTAAATTCCAAATCAAATTTATCCTTAATTCAGAGCACTAAAAACGAATCATATTCTAAATTCTCCGTATACCATCCACCATTCATAAGCAGCTTCAAGTCAACTTCAAAATCAAACACTGTGAACCCTTTACAAACATCATTTTACAGAACTGAAGTACCAGTTCACAAGTACAAGGGAAAGAGATTTAACAGAACAAAACAAAAAAGGGACAAAATAAAATAAAAATAAAAGAAACAAAGGAAAGAAAGCAAAATAAAATAAAAACAGAGACAGGGCGTCCATCTTCAGCAGGTCAGACTTCGATCTCATTTCCCCCATGAAGGTTTCACTTGGCGGCAGGTTTAGTGGCATGGCAAACAATGCCTAACTCAGGCAAGTGTAACAGGTCTGCCTTGGCCAGTCTAGTCATCTAATAATGCACAAATATCACACAGAGAAAACATACAAAACCAAATTAATAGTCAAAATCCATCTACCAGATAATGTGGACATAAAATTTAGAAAGATTAGGGTGGCATCTTTGTTTAGCTTTCATCTTTGCATTTTCAAAGCATATTTAAAGAAAAACCTACCAATACACACACACAAAAAGTTGTATTTTCACAGCTTAATGGTCTTACTTCATTTACAATAACATTTTTGTTAATTTGTTAATCAAATGTCACATACTTTACATTGATTTCATTCTGTAGTGATTTCCTCCTTGATTTACCACTCTTTAAATACACTCCAAATGTCAGGTTTTTTTCTATTTTTTGAATCATGTTTTTAGATTTCCATTTTACCTCTCCCCTATGTTTAACTTCACACATTAAATGTTTATTACTGGGAATGTTGGTCAATGGTATAATTTTACCTCCTGGTAGGATAAAAAGCCATCTTTTAAAACCCATGATCCAGTTCACTGACTCCATTAACAGTGCCTCATATGATACATAGTGAAAAAACCTTTGTGCCATGGTCTCCAAAGCCATACTTATTCCACACAATAATAAATTCATCAGAAAGTTAAATTTGTATAAATTCACATCTTTTTATAAATGAGTGATTCTGATACAAAGTTACAGAGAACAGCATTCTGACATCAAAAAAGCAATCTCAAAACCTTGTTCACCTAATTACGCATACATTTTTGTGGAGTCCAGAATGATTCTGAACAGTGATCACATTTTCTCAGAAATGCCTGATCAGCCAGTTATCAATAGAGCTGGAACAAGATTTGTCAGAATTTTGACTTATTCTCCTTTCATTCACTGTAGACACAGGAAAATATAGCTTTACCTGCCTGTTGCCATATCATGTCAGGCAGTGATCTCATCACAAGAAAAACACCAGGAAGTGTTGTTCCCTCATTAGGCAGCCATCTTCCCTCTCTGGTAAT